CTCTGGTGACCAATGACAGGACCAGGGGAAATGGCAGGAAGATGTGCCAGGGGAGGGTGAGGTTGGACAAACTCTGATGCATCTGACTGTATTCAACAGTACAGGGTTAGAACACCAAGGCCCCAGGCAAAACAATGTGGCTCCTCTTCTCCAGGACTTTGGATTACACAACTTTGTAGCTGCAAACCCCAGAGCAGAGCTGGCTCCACACACTGGTATGGCACTGTGCCAGCAAAGCCCCTGGACCCTCAGGAAGTACGACACAGAAACCCTCAGTGGCTTGGCAAGGGCTGGCTCAGACCTTGCAGAAATGACAGTGACTAGGAGTTAATAAGCTCTGAGGAAACCAACGCTTGTCCATAGGCACAGTGGCTACACAAGGTACTCATGGATTCTGGCAGACTTTCAATAACTCTTAATCATCCAGAGTATGAGAGTTCTTCTACCCAAGACACTGCACTGACCCTGCTGTAGGTTCATTTCACTGACCTGATTCTAGCCCAGATACCTGTCTAAGAAACTTTGGAACATGAGGACGCAAATCTTCTGTCCTTGCTTTAGACACATTCCAAAAAATAACAATTTCAAGAAAACGTAGCAGGCACAGCTTCAGTAAGGAACTCAAGAGTGCACCCACAAATGCAGACAGATCATCCAGAGAAAGATGTTCTTTAGGGGATGCTGGAAACAACTCCCATTTCTGGGCTGCCTAGCTTTTGGATGCACATGTGCTCACACACACACAAACTCTTTTTTTCCCCCCCTTGAGGCTCTAGGGCCTCCCTCTCCTTCCCACTCTGTAAGCCTTTGTAATTCATCAAAACCAAAGGTTTAGGATCCAGGTTGAAGGTTTACGTTGTGCAGTGAAATCTCATTTCAATTCAAATAAGATACTAATTGTAAAAATTGCCTTGCATCTTGCTTGTGTGTGTCACATTGTAAAGGTTTGGCAGCATGTTAAAAATTGAATGTAAACATTAGAAGCAATAAAATCTACAGTAAGTGTGGAGCAGTGTGGATATGTTGAGTGGATTTTGAAAGAAAGAGTGGAGAATACATGTGATCTCATTTAGGTTCCTGCTCCAGCAGAGGGATTGGACTAGATGATCTTTCAAGGTCCCTTCCAATCCCTGACATTCTGTGATTCTGTGATTCTGTGAATATTCCTGCCCATAAAAAACCAAAACCCTAAACCAAACTTTCTTTTTTACTTTTAAATTTATAGCATCCAACTCACTATGACATTTATTTCTGAAGCAAACTTCATTACTCAAGTATTCCAGAATTACTGCTAAGATAAACATCAGTCTTGCTATTAAATGCTAATTTTCAGGTTTTCTTCTATTAGCAAGAAACTCCAGACTATCATTTGACAGTCTCATGGTTTGCTTAGCGAAGAACAATACATTGATGCCTACACATAAAAAGATAATTTTCCATAAATAAATGCGTCTGCCACAAATAACGCAAGTCATCGTCTAGAAAGGATTCATACTATTTTGTCAAATTTTCTCCTTGCACTTGAAGGTGGTAATGATGTTTAATTCTTATCAGTACTTTCAATTCAGTTCAGTTATGTCTTTTTCAATTTCAGTTGCTGAAAAGATTTAAAGAGGATGCAAATATCACTCTTATTTTAGAGACAGGGTTATAAAAGACAGCAGCTACCCCAGAGTCACTCCAGAATGCAAATGCTGATGGCCACAGACAATATTTGGAATAGAAGTTACTTAAAAGAACCTTAACCTCTAGAAAATGGTCCTTGCTAAAAAAATTTAGTGGGCTTTTTTTTTTTTTTTAGATTTTGTTGCTTCACAACCTAAGTGAGTTACTGACTGCAATATAAAATTTAAGTCATTCAACAGCTGATTATTTTTCTATTCCTCCTTTCAGTTCTTCCCTTTTGAAACAGAACTACTCAGATTAAGAAAAATGCCCATAGACAGGTAGCAAGGTGTCCAATTTTAGACCTTATGAAGATAATGGAACACATTTTTGATTTACTAAGAAAGGTACACAACAGAATCATTTATACTACTTCTCTATATATACACAACTCTGAAACAGTGTCTGCCAAGATTTGAGCTACCAAAACAGTATCAGTTACACCAAGTGAGCACTTTATCATGTTTCTTGAGCACTGAAAGTTATTCAAAAAAGCATCATCTTAGCCATCATGTAATTTCAAGTAGTGAGGGAAAAAAAAAAAATCTAGGATGTAACTGTAAAGATAACACAGTTAAGCAATTACTTCTAACAGTTCTCCTTGTTTTCTCCTTAGCTAATAATCCTTGCGTATGTACACACATAGCAATTCATCTAGAGGGCAAGAGGAAGAATAATTAAATAGCAACGCAGAAGCCCATTTCGGAACCAGACACCAACAACTTAATAAAAATCGAGGTTCATAAAGCATATGAATAGATTTTCACTGTTTTTCACAACTTCAAGGAAAAAGAGATGACTTTTTGCTTGGGAACTTTCAGCTACATCTGATGCTTTGCAGAACTATGTTGATGTTAGGAGTAGCCAAAAAGCTCATTCTGCTCTTATTACTTAATTGCATTGACAGTTTTTTGGTTTTCATTTTTTCAAAAGATGACTTAACAGCTGGCAGTACATACATCTCCTCTCTCACAAACCACAAGCGGAGAATTTCTTTTTACTGCGCTGTTCCAACAGTCCAGACACACAGGTGGTTGCATTTTCTTTCTGTAAGTTGGCATTTCTTTTCTTCCTGAACAGATGTGATTGCTTGAAAATTCTACACTCACCTTAGGATTCCTGCCAGACCTGGCTACATGCAAAGGAGCCAATTCCAAGCACAACTATGGCTGATAAACCAAGTGTTGGCAACAACATGTCATTATCTTATTCTGGATCACAAGGGTGCACCCTAACTTTTGTTTCTCCATAGAGTGCCCCAAGGCAAAAGAGACTTACAGAAAACAATCAAGATAATCACAATCATCTTTTTATTTTTAAAACTGCCTAAGAATACCCTTTCTTAACATGGAAATGAGGTCGTCCTGGTCCAGCTAGTAAAAGTAAGGAACGGGCACTTTGTATATCACTGTGTTTAAAACACAATTAGCTGGTAAGTGTAGACACACTAGAAAAATATTTTGATCTGACTTCTGGTATTACTCAGGGCAACAACCACTGACCAGAATAGGAGATCAAAGCAGCTTTCCAGGAGAATAGAATTTTCCACAACACATGACAAACTTGTCAATCTTATGAGTACAATTTAGCAAACACCTACACATCCCTGCTATGGAACCCTCCTACTTCCAAGCAAGTGAGACACAGCAAGCAATATGGTAGAATTATTGGTCTAAGTCATGCTGTTTAAAATTCTAATGTTTCTTTAATATTCTCAAAAGTATCTATGTGCCAAATTCAAACAAAAATTTCTGACAAGACATTTGGAAAGCTAGATTAGTAACTTATTTTTTAAAAATTAGAATTCTTCAAGTTATAGTTATCTGTTATAAAGACCAAACCCACTAGTTCTGATATCAAAGTGAATACAGAAAACAGGTAGGACAGGAATTACAAGATTTTTATTGCTGTGATCTTATTCAACTTCACTACTCATGCTCAGGCATCTAATTTCTAACTTTCCAACATTGATGGCTTTCTATAATTTCTGATCTATGAAGGTTCTGCATACCACCCTGACACAATCTTCAGGACTAGGGTTGTAACAGAAATAATTAAGAATTTTTAAACCTCCACCAGGGATTCAAAAGAATAAGAAAACACTTTACACACTGGCCCAACACTTATTAATAGTCTTTTCAAGCTTACCTTTTTTACTTAGGTCAATAGCAGCTTCTAGAAGAACTTCTAATTCCCCTTTCGGCAATACAGGAACAACCCATCGAGGCCTATATTCAAAAACAAAACAAACCCTCCTGTATTTCAATTGTGCTTCTTAAAAATCAAGAATCCTTGCCCCTTTGTAATGTTTTAAATATAGGGTAAGAATATACATTTTTAAAGACCCTGATGAGCACTCCATTAAAAAAAACAAAAACAGAACCCAAAACTCTGATGAGTCTCTTTCTCTTTACAACTCTAACCCAATTTAGAAAGTACTTCAAGAAGTCCAGTGAAACAAAGATGTGAGAATCCTGATATTTGCACAAATAATCCACACCTTCTGAAAGAAGTGCAAAAATACCTGTTGATCATGTCATCCAACTTTGCCAGGTCTGTGTGTGGAAATGCAGGCTCCTCATCTTCAAGCTGCGGTGGAGTATCTCCTTGGCCCTGCTCATCAGGCGGGGTAGCTGGGGAGTTCTCATTGGAAGAATCAGGTGAAGAAGTCTAAAATTGGTATGGTAAATACTTTAAATACTTCCTGTTCTTGCATGCCACTTATTTTGGCATTTTTCTTTCAAACTGTGTTTCAAAGAATCACTTAAGTACCTGTCACTATAAAATATAATACAATTATTTGATTTCAGATTTATTAACAAAAAGTAGAATATAAAACTTGCTATATGCTTTCTATCTCAATAGGTTAAAAATTAAGCTACTTTCCCTGTGAGGGAAGCGGAGATATTTGTAAGAAACTTCTACTTTAAGCAGACCACCTACCTAGTTGAAAATAAAGACTACATGGATGCTCCATTTTTTACAAGTCTTCTGCAGAAAATATGACTATTTTAGGTAGAAAGACAAACTTCAGCAACAGCACAGAATAAAATGATCATGAAAAACATTTTCTAAAAAAGTTTCCTAAAAATGAGTAACATGCTACTACAGCTGGCTACTAACCAACCTCCAAGAACATGATTAGTGAAGCCCATTTTGACGGGCCATGCAAAATACAAAGTATTTTATAGATGCAGGCTTATTTGTATATAGAAATAGTATAAACTGACAATAATAAATATTCAAATCAGAACAGGAAGATTCAGGAGGACAAGGGAGAACCAAAAACTCAAAAACATTTTTCACATGTAGTTCTATGTCTAGTGAGCACGGAGTTAATTTTCTTCACAGCATCTTGTATGGTGCCGGGTTTTGGATTTGTAACCAAAACAGTATTGATAACACACCAGTGTTTTGTCTGTTGCTGCAGAGTGCTTGCACAGATTCAAGGCCTTGTTTTTCCCACTTCAGCACCCAGCAGTGAGTAGGCTGGGTGGGCAAGAAGCTGGGAGGAGACACAGCCGGGACAGCTGACCTGGACTGACCAAAGAGACAGCCCATACCATATAGTGTCACAATCAGCAATAAAAGAGGGGGGCAGTTTTTTTCCCAAGGTAGTTGTTGCTTGGGGACTAGCTGGGCATCCATCAGCTGGTGATGAGTGACTGCGTCTGCATCACTTGTTTCCCCCACTACCCCTTCACTTATTAAACTGCCTTTATCTCAGCCCATATAATTTCTCACTTTTCCCTTTTGATTCTCTCCTCCATCCCACCGAGGCAGAGGAAGTGAGTGACAGGGTGGAGGCTTACCTGGCAGCCACAGCCAGCCCACCACACATGATCCAAAGAACAATTCATTCTCAGGAAAGTAACAACCATTAAACCTTACAGTATTAAAGAAATATAATCTCCATAATGAATTAAATGACAAAGGGTGGCTTTTCTTTTAAATGCAGTTGGCTGCATTATTTAAAAGCATCTTTTCTGGTATTTTTTCCCCCAATAAAAAAAGAATCATCATATTATGATGGAGTATTTAAAAGTTTTTGCCTGTCTTTTGAGAACAGGATAACCTCTTCAACAGAAACATACCAAGTTGTTCAGGAAGTCTAGTACAAAGAAGAGAGATCTAGATGAAGCCGGTCTTAAAGAGCTGATACCCCCTTGTAAGCTGTTTTATCCAGAAAGTGCTTTTGCAGAACTGAGCATAAACTGAACTCGGAGTAGTTTTACCAATCTGTGGCAGGTAAGTCTACAAAGCAGGAGGCTTCTGATATTATTCCAAGAAGTCTTCTTATCCAAAATATATATGCTTGAAAAAACTATGTCACTGCTTGAAAAGGGAGTATATTTTGCAATGCAGTGCTCGCTAGCTGTATCTACCTTGCCAGTATTACTGCCTTCATCCCTCAAAATCTTTTTGCACTTCCAGACACACACAAAAAACATCTCTACAAGTACACAAACTCAAGTAATTCAGAAACACGATTTGTAAAGAACTAACCTCTTTATTTTTATACCACTTGATTGTTAATACCATACCTGATTCTGCTGGAGGGGAGGCTGGGACTGTCCATCAGGAGCCTGGCCCTGGCTATCATTCCCTCCTACCGGAGAGCCACGAGTCGTGGCTGTCATACTCGACACAGGGCAGATCTTTGCAATTTTGTCTGCTTATGTAGTTGTTGTGAGAGAAGAAATTATAGTCCACTTAGTGAAGTTGAAGTACCAGCATATGCTTGCCTTAAAAAGCTCCAACTCAAGAACAAGCCATCTTGCAGAGACCATTGCATAACCTGCGGGGAAAAAAAAAGACTATGCTATAGTGACAAATGTATATAAAAGCAATCCGTACCTGGAAAAGAACACTACAAAAACAAATACACTGCTATAAATTATCTTTATTTCAGACTTAGTATTTCTTTTTATTGAGTAAAACCGACATCAGAAGAAGGTAACATTTGAAATACTTAACATAACTTTAATGTTCTAAGTAAAAATTACACCGATAATCACTTCGATACCACTGAGAAACTGACACACATCCAAAAATGCAGCTGTTCACTCTGACTCTGTTGTGCTTGAATTGCTACAGCAGATTTTCAGTTTGAATTCAAGGTGCTGATCGAGGTGTGTGTAGAAATGACTTGGTCAAGAGCATGAACAGGCAAATTCATCATCTTTTCCAATAGTCTTCTCCCGACACCAACTGTGGATGTCTGAGAGGGAGTCAGAGATTGATTTTACCCCAGCTAAGACTAATAGAGAACCTGCAGCCAATCTTCTATTAGTACATCAGTATTTACCCAGGGCATTTGAGCTGTATTCCAGCACATGCCTAAGAAAGCCTGGGTCCACTGGCCTTTCAGGCCCACTACAAAGCCCATCACATCTCCACCATGTATTTTCGTGGATTATATGAAGAAAATTCTGACATCAGACTTTATTTGTTGATCTTGCAACCATGATATACCAACAGTTCAATAATCACTATGTATTTCAACTTCATTGTGTTAAATACAGAAATAAAAAGCTGCGTTAAGTTTTAACAGCAATTCTACTCTATACCACAGGGCACTGTATAACCACAGAGATAAAACATAATTTTCCAGAGCAACTCAGACTTTCAAGCACCACATAAACCAACAACAGTACTCAGAAAGTTCAAAAGCCAAGTAGGGTGGTAGAAAGAATCGTATGAGTTTCAGCAAGATTCACTTGGCAGTGCTAAGTTCCCGATTCAATCGGCAAAAGCTTCAAGTTAACAAATTAGAGTGAAATTTCTGCTGTAACACTATGCATATTTGTAATTGTTTTCTTATGAGAACTCATCTCAAATTCATTTTCAATGCTGTTATCTTTCTCCAAGACACTCTAAAATCCTTTCCTAAACTGTGCAAATTTGCAAGCTGTTACATATAAAATAAAAATTCTGACTGAATACACTATTCCTCCCCTGCCCAGTCTCCAATACTAACAGCATCAACAAATTTAGAGATCTCTAATATCATCACTAAAATAATGTTCACTTTTAAACAAAACTGTATTCTTTGAATACAGTCAATTGCAATCTATCACCACCCTTCAAAATTCATATTCATAGGGCTTAGTAAGCCTGCTAGGTCCAGAACAAGGGTATTACCAACCAATTTCTTTAGGAATAAACTGATTTTTTTTTAAATGCAGTTTTAAAAATGCACTTATTTTAATTTGTGCTCTTTTTTAAATGCCCTCCTGAGTATTTAGTTGTTTTCTATTGATGGTTAGAAAGATCACTTTGCCTCTAGAAAGGCAAAGTTTCCTGCCATAAATATATATACATGCATATACACACACACTGCAGTCTCCTGCAGTTCAATGCAGTCAGATCCCCTGAACTACCTCCTTGAGGCTTCCAAGTACTTGCGTAAACCAATGAAGTCAAACTTCTGCCAACTCACACTGTACTTTTCAACAGCCCTAGGCCAACCACCACCACAATAAACCTTCCTTAATCAACACCACTCTTCCTTTAACAGGTCTGGCTCACAATACAGTCACACTAAAAAACTTGTGCTGGCACAAGCAGTGAGATAACAAAGAAGTAGGAAAAGGGGTGAAACAGCTTCTTTCAGCAGCAATCCTGGTCTAGGCTGGCGTAAACTGCAGAAAGAAGTGACCACTGGAAGCTGTAGTTCCACAATAACCTACACCCAGCGCAAGCTGCTTCAGTCTCATCTCATTCTAATGCTTTGGTTGAACTATCATGAAGTGGGCCAGTTCTAAGTACTAAAGGACACAAGAAGAAAAAAATCCCATAAACTTACAATGATTGTGATTATTTTTCCATTTCTTTAATTACTTGAACTGCTGTACTGCAAGGCCAGAGAGTACTCATCCTAATGCCAGCCAGGAAGCCAGGACAAAACTGCAGCTCTCCTGTTAGGCTGACTTACCTTAGTGTGGCTTTACCCTCAAATTTTGCCTCTGTGCTTAGCTGAAGGGTCAGAGCAAAGCATTCTTTTAAATTCTTTTCTGCTCAAGGCAAGTGACATAATTTAACTAGGAGATACAGGAAAACGAGTACTGAAATAACCAACTTATTAAAAATCTTGCAAATTCACACATTAAAACAAAAGCTGTGTAACAAAAATACACAGAATTTTGTAGACACTAGTAAATACAGAACATTTACATAAAGGACTAATGTTTCCTTCTCTTCCTCTTAGTGACTGTTGGCTTCAGATTCTAATAATGATACTCTACGTGTAGTACTTAAAATACATTCCCAGAAAAGTGTATCTCAGGGCCTCTACAGAAGTTCACTTGGCTTGGCCATATGCATAAGACAAGGCCAACTTCTCAAGCGAGTTCACCATTTCTCCCCCCCGCCCCC